CTAAGAACTTTGCGTGGTTTCGCCAGCGCCGGACCGCTGTGCGTGCTTTGACGGAGGCTCCGTGGAGTTGCGTGCTTTGCAATAGGGACAAGCGAAGTAGTTCCTAACAAAATAATTAGTAATACTTACTAAATTTGTGAGTATTACGTGCAATTTTGTGAGCATTACTGCTGTTTAAGCGACTTCATTGTGTATTTGCAAAATGTCAGTAACGGGCTGAGAGTGAAGAAATTTAACAGTGAGTCAACAAGACATTCTGACGTCCCAGCAGGATATTTTGGCGCCCATATAAGCCCAAAACAAAATCGCTCTCGCTTCGCTCGCGTGTTTTTTGTTCGTATAACTCAGGGAACTTATTAGAACAGAGGGGCAGAGGGGCAGGAAATCAAGGGGAAACTCAGGGGAAATGGAGATGGAAAGATTGTGGCCACTATGTAACGAGTGCAAGACACGTTCAAGACAAATCTATTTTCACGTTAAATTTTCAATTTCACTTCTCGCCCCACACTACTACTACTAAGATATTACTAAAAACACGATTTTTCTATTTGCCCCTAGGAGGTAGGCAAATCCGGGCCCCTTCGCCGTATTTCCCCCCAAGGGTCAGTACCCCCCAGTCCGCCCCTGCGACTAGGTGTAGTAGACCCAACGTCACAAAGAGCACGCGCGTCGCGCACGTGTCACACGGCCCAGCCAACCTCTTTACGCGATCGCAGGCTGGTCTGCCTCACTAGCTGATCGCTTAAGTCAATTTTCTGCTCCGGCCCAGGTGGGCTGTGCCTGGTGACGGCTACGGGGCATCAGCCCCCCCCCCCCCCCCAATCCACACTCCGAATCCGAAGTGAGAGAGAAGAGAACCTGCATCCCAATGAATTACATAACTGTTCATCCGTACTTTTATCCAACGCAGGATGGTACCGAAATTGTGCTTGCTGTACACTGAACACACCATTAAACTTGACCCCCCACGCAGTCTATAGTGTACTTCGCTACTTACTTACTCCGACTCGAGAACTGTCGCTTATGGGCGCTGATAAATGTTAACATTTTTTGAGTTAATTGACAATTCTATAACAAAAATTCTGTGGTCGAAGCAATAACGTTAAATCGACTAACGAAAATTAATTTGGGTGCGATTATTGTTATCGCCAATAACGTTTAGAAATAATCCGAAGTTTTTCCGTTAAAATTTTACACCCAAAAGCCCAAAACAAACCCATGT